CCCGGGGCGTAGGGCGTGGGCGAGGGATCTGTGCTTTTCCTGGGTGCGGCCCGATCTGGCGCCAACATCTGGCGGGGCCATCCGGCGGAGCATCTTTTGGATGTGACTATCCACCCCACCTTTTCAAAGGGGGTCACCCTTCATCGTCTGAGACTTTTCTTGGCTACAACCAGATGTGGCCCTGATATCTGACGCTAGTTAGTACCCTGGGGTTCAATAACTCTGGTTGTAGCAGTGGAACCGTTGCGCCGCTTTCTACCCTCTCAACAGGGGTTGAACATTGCACCGAGAAATGACGAGCTCCGGAGTTGCAGCCGAAACCGAATCTCAAGGATTAAGCTGTCTTTCTGGCGCATCGAAGACTGACTGCTCTCGCCGACACAGTACTGTACGCAAAGACTAAGCTTACGTCACTCAAGAAAGCCATGACTGTTGCTCTCAAAAGCAGACATGAAATTGTCTTCCAGTCCTTCATTCAGCACTGTTTGAGCGTATAGTTATGTATTCCGTCTTCTCTTTCGACAACGGTATCGGAGGTCTCGCATCTGTCGTAACTGTAGCATCGATCAGGCGTTTTGATGGCAACTTTCGTCGTAGTAACTTACCTTGACCATCTACAGTTCCGCCTGTTGATGTTGAATAAGAAAATCAATACGTAGTCGCCGCCATGAATGGAATCCAGAATAGGGCGGCCAAAAGCCAGCATGAATCATTGGTGGAGCGGAAGGCCGCGGTACAAGTTGATTTCTACGTTCCGACTTAATCAGTTCAGTCAAGTCACACGTCGCTGCTTCTACTTCTAGACTTGGGCAGAGATAGGCCCGCGACTCAGTAGCGTCGGCACGCTACCCGAACCACAGACCAGTTGTACCATTCTGTGCATCTCCTGACCGTCTATACTCAAGTCCCAAGCTACATCTTCCAAAAGTCGGCACTCTGCGACATTGATATCATCGTCTGTGAAATGAAATGAGCATGCCTCGGCTGTGAGGCCGGTCCAGAACGACGTTTTGTATGTGACATCTTCTAGGTATTTCCGAGCAAGAATAACCGCCGCCAAGACGCGCAAATGCTGATTCGCCTCCGTCATTGGAGAGTTTTGTGGCCGCTGAAGACCCCGCTCCAAGTAGATCAGACTACCGCAGAGTACCGCTCCACTGATATCAGCCCACAGCAGCAGATGGCGTAGGAAGACTGCCAAATCTGAGGGGAAGTCCCATATGTCGCTGTTGATGGGCAGGACTCTGGAAAGGATGCGCTCAGCCATGCCGGTAACAAGTCGTAAAGAAGGAGGCCGCCGACAGAACAGTTCGAATCGGCGGGTGTCTGACGCCATGCCCGTCCATCGGGCAAACACGGGTGCCTGATGGTCGATGACGGCGCGGACAGATGATGGTAGCCGGAGTTGACAAGAATCCCCTGGAGAGCGATGCATCTGCACCTTGCCAGCACAGTAGCCATTGAGTGTTTGCGATCGAATCACGAAGAGCCCGCTGACATCCACAAGTCCGGCGACTGACCCTACTTAATGCTGGCGGCCATGAAGCTAAAAGTAGACGCCTCCGAAGTACTTAAACAGATTGTCACCAGGCCAGAAAGGTGCTGCAACAATGATGGAACCTCGTCGCACATCAAGCGTCTATTCCGACACCTTCGAGCTAGATGATCTGCTTCTAAGGCTCACGAAGCAGGCTGATGAGCAGCACGATATGGTCATCGACCTCTTGCGGCAGGAGAACAACGCACTCTATCGCAAGCTCAAGGCGGAACGGCAGCTGTGGCGGGTCATCGTCGGTCTCGTACATGAAATCGTTGAGTTGACCGGCCAGCTGGAGAAGCTGCTCGGGAAGGCCCGGTTGCGGATGCAGCAGGGTAGAATCAAGTATTTGGCAAATTGTACCGCCTTCTAGGCCGTCGTAGCAAGTTATTTCGACGGCCTGCTCCGTACCCACCCGGCGAGGATGCATCCCCTACACCAAGACCTGACAATGAACGTCGTGAAGAAACTGCATTCATGCGGACCTGGAATAGGCTGCAGCGGTTGGTTATGAGAATAAGTCTGGTGGAACAGGTCGGAGCCCCTGCGAGCTCTTGAGATGCTTCGCTCCCTTTTTCTGGACCGCAAGTAGGCGCCACGCGTTTTTTTTCTTCTCTTTTCTTCTGGGCAAAGGAGCTAAATCTCGCTCCTTGTTACTTCATCTGCCACCCGCCTCGCCTTTTCTTTGATTTGTTCTCCAGCATTCTCAAGCCATTGCGCGCCGTAGTCGACGGGTATGAAAGACGACGACACTCTCCCTCCCGAGTACGATAGCGAGGAGCACTTCAAGACGTATGCGGTCTCTCGATATGATCAGATGGTGCTGGAAAACGACAAGGAGATAGACTGGTGGTGGTCTCTGCTGGCGAAGGTTTTCTCGTGGCTATTGTTGGCAGGCTACATCGTGTTTCCTTCCACGTTCGCTTCGTTGAGGAGGTCGCAAGTTCTCGAAAGCATGGGCAAGGTTGGGCAGACGGTGTCGTTCTGGGTCAACGACTGTCTGATTGCTCTTGCCTCTGTGCTCTCGGGCGTCGCATCCATCGGCTTGGCGTGGCTGTGGTTCAAGTGGCGTGCGAACTACGTCTGGGTGCATCAGCACATCATCATGTAAGAAGCCGCGCTTGACCATGTTTCGCGAGCGTCGACGCTCACAACGTTGTAGTCCCACGTTAGTCAACTCGCTGATTGGGTTTTTGTCTACCATTCTAAACATCTATACCGTTCACGGGGGCCAATGGTCTGCGACGTCGATAGCTACTACAACGGTTACCGGCTGGTGGCTGGCCGTATCTTGCGTTTTGTGCGGGGTCTACCAATACTTACTAGATGGATTACGTCGCAAGATGGAATGATGACTCGGAAGACGTGGATGGGGGCTGGTCTTCCATATTCTCTTTTCCCATTTACTTCATGTAGTGGTCTCATGTTTCCTTCGGGCAAGTCCAGGTGTACCATTGTTTGGCATACAGCCCAGTTTCTCGCCGTGCTCATATGTCGAACAATGCGATGATCAATGACGTTGTCCGAGAAACTGTGTAGTTAGGCCTCTACAACTTCATCATTTTACTCTGCGGCACAGCAAGGAATGTATCCAAGTTGGCTCTGGATACAGATCGGAACATGGCATTCACATGTGGAAATGGCACTGTACTGTAATCGTCCTAAGCGCGCCTGTCTCCATGAAAGTGGGCGATCGTCAAATGGGCGATGACGTTTGAGACGCCCGTTCATGCAGACCACTTGGCTGGGGGCAAAGCTGCCACTTGCGTCGAGGAGCCAAACCAGCAGCCGACTGTGTGAGGCAGCAACATCTCATTCCAGAGCTCGCCTTTCCCCCCACACGTTGCGCAATGCCGGAACATGCTCCCAATGGGTATACTTATACACCATCAAACACATGTGAGGATTCCAGATAGTTCGTACTGTAGGACACATCGGAGCAAGCGTGATGAATCACAACAGAAAGACCCAGATCGCCATCTTTTCGAATGATTACAACGTCCCAAATGCCGCTGCATCGGATCCTAGGGCCAGACCCGCGACTCATGCGGCAGCAGGAAAAGCCGATAGACACCTGCCAGTGCAGACAGAGAACCAGAAGAAGGAGCGCTTTCTAGCCGTGGACTCGGCAAAAGGTCTCCATAGCCCGAAACACGACAACACGTTGGACCGCCCATCGGACGTCGAAAACGGCTCACCCTGGAAGCACTATCAGGCGGAATTCGAGCTCCAAGATCTCGGGGGCACTCTGACAGTGGCGTCAAGGCATCGGAGGCTTTTCCACATTAGTGAACTGGCCCGTACGGAGTCAAAAGAAGTCCTGGAAAAGCTGAGAAGGCTCCGCCACCCAAACGTTGTCGAGTTCATCCACGCGTACATGACGCCCACCTCTTTACACGCTGTCTTCGAGGCCACGGCTGTCAGCCTTTTACACGTGGCGAAATGCCCGACATATCCTGACAAATCACAGCTGGGTGCCATAGTCGGGCAGGTAAGCAGAGGGATGGGGCCGAGCCATCGAAGACGGAGACTGACGCCTGCGCCGACATAGATCGTAGACGGCCTCAGCTACTTAGAGGGAGAAGGCTTTGAACACTCTTCAGTCGATGGAGGGAACATATTGATGACTGACGCGGGAGTCGTGAAAATCGGCAAGTGACCTACCGCCCTATCGGTGCAGGCCAGGCATTCGGCATCTGACGTTTGGAATCGTGTAGCCAACCAGCAGCTTTGTCAACCGCTTCAAGGCCACAGCCGCCGTCACCTTACGGCCCTCAGCCGTGTCGTTCAACTCCTCATGCAAAAGTACTGCAAGGAGACGCCAGGCATCGACGACCTCGGCCGCTGGCCTCCCGACTCGGACGGCTTTACCTTTCTGGTCGCGATCGATTCTGCGTCGTCAGTCGTTGAGTTACAAAATGTTCGTATCACTAGCCACATTCGGGGCCCGCGCCGGAGAGCCAAATGACTAACCGACACCTACAGCACCCCCTCGTCAGACATCGGGATACGGAATGCCTCCTCGGTCTTGTCAGTTTGACACGCGTTGCGGTTTTTCCGCGAGAGTACAGATGTGGGGCCAAGGCAACACCGTTGTCGAACTGAGCTTCTGTCGGCTGTTTCTTGCTCTGCTTATGTTAGATGGCCAATTCTGCCTGTTATACCATGCTCTATAGCCTCGTTGCTGTTCACCGCACTACTTCAGTCCTTTACTCCTCCTTCGCCTGTACTTGTCTGTCTATCAATTCTGTTATTTTTTCTCCCGGTTCTCAATTCTCCTGACCAGAAGTGCTCCATGGACTGGGTTACCGTTTCCTATGCAATCTGCCTTGCGGGCATGATTGTCGGTCTAGCTTTCTTGAACGTCCTGTCTCGCACGGGCAGAGCTCGGAAACGACTCGCCCATCTCATGGAGAAGTACCTCGTATATCGGCTTCTCGTTCATCGCCACTCGTTGCTTGGTCCTTGGAGCGCTATTTCCTTGCTCGTTCCGACCCTCCTCCTGGGCGTAAACGTGTTCTGCCTGGCATTCCGACCGTCGACCATTCTCGCCCGCTCCGGAAACCTGGCTCTCCTCAACATGCTTCCCCTGTTCTCTGGACCCTGCCTGGATTTTACCGCAGACATGCTCGCCGTACCTTTTCAACACTACGTAGTATTCCACAGGTGGCAGGGTCGCGTTGCAACAATGCTCCTCGCGGGCCACATCATCAGCGCCATGGAAGACGACAAACTCCCGGTTCAAGTCTCTGAAGGTGCCAGCGAGCTCCTCATGGTTACGGTAGCGGGACCATCCCCTCTGCCAAGTTTCGTTTCTTCGTCTTACTCTCGCAGGGTTCCATCGCCATGGTGGCAGCGGCAACAATGACCTTTCTCCCCTTTTTCCGACGCCGCATCTACGAGCTATGTCTGAGAACCCATCAAGCGCTCTCTTGCCTGGCAGCGGTGGGGCTCGCATTCCATCTGCGGTCGATGGCCGGTCGTTCGTGGCTATGGCTGTCCGTCTACCTTGCCGTGACGGTGCTGATAACCTTTTCGCAAGTGGGCCTGATGGCATTTCGTAACAAGACGATGGGACGAACGTTTGGCAGAGCCTACATCAACCATGATGCCGGGGCCGTGCGCGTCTCGATACAGCTATCGAGGCCACTTGCATTCGAGGCGGGCCAGTATCTGCTGTTGTGGATGCCGAGAGTCCGCCTGTTGGAGAGCCACCCCTTCGTCGTGACCTCGTGGGCCGAGGCGGAACAGGGCATCGTCGACCTCTTCATCGAGCCGCGGAGAGGATTCACTTCCAGCCTTGTTCGGTATTCTCACGAGCAGGCCGTGCCACGGCTGGCCTTTCTTTCCGGCCCGCACGGCGTAAGCGTGCCGGTGTGGGATTACGAGGCGGTGCTTATGGTGGCCACGGGCCACGGAATCGCAGCTCAAGCCCCGTACCTGAAGAAGCTGGTCTACGGATACAACCACTGTAGAGGTCGTACGCGACAGATTCATCTTGTCTGGCAGGTCGCCAATCTTGGTCAGTCGAAAGAGATGCGGCAAATCGAGGCGGCCTCTGTGACTGACCACACCAGATATCGTGCACGCGGCTGAGTCCATCCTGAACCCCATACTGAATGACGACACGCTAGACAACGGCTACGTATGTGCATCGCAGCTTTCTCATGACTGTTTACCGATGTGGTTGACTGTGCTGTGAACAGATCCTAGAGATTTCCATCTTCTTGGACACGCAGGCGCGGGGAATGTCCGTCGGCGATCTCCAGACTCTTTTACCAGAGTGTGCCAGCGACGAGCAGATAGTTGCGTGCGCCCCAACACATGTCCTGAGCACGGCTGATGCCGAGCGGCTGATCACCAAGCATCTCCACGGCGGCAGCAGCCGGTCACACGGTGAACCGACTCGCGTGAAGGACTTTGGCACAAGAGCGCGGCTTTATGTCGGAAGCCCTGACCTCACGGCGAGCCTATGGGCCGAAGCATCCCATTTGTTCGGCCGAACATCGCCCGACGCAGTTGAAAACATGGGAGACATGTTGATCCTCGGTACGCGCTGTGGTCTCGATGGCGAACGCTTTCTGACCGTTTTGGTAGTATCAGCTGCGAATGCAACGCGAGATGTCCTTTGCGATCTTGCAGGAGGGTTTCTGATGGATGAGAACCACCCTTTGTACTCTGAATTCCAGAGAAGAGAAGATGTTCGCGAGTATCTCCAAACTCATGTGTGGCTGCGAGGGCTTGATTATCAGCCAGCCGACTGATGCGTCTACACTTCAACTTGACGAGTCTTTGTTGTAGCTGGCAATGGATGTTTGAGGGGTTTCTATATTGTACTATAAGACTTGTCCAGCTTCGTGACTGAGACATCGAATTATGCGAGGAAAAAACAAAAAGGAGAAGAACAAAAGTCGCTATCAACGCTTTGTTCGATGACGCGGCCTACGTGCGTCTTGAGGCTACGTGAATTCATGGCTCTTATGCTGGTGATGGTGCTGAGGTTCCAATGTTCTCAATGATCACGCGTAGGGCCTGTGTCTGGGATGCTCTCTGATTAGGGGGGCTATGGAGATTGTGTATGCTCCCTGCAAGTCCTTCTTTGACTGGAGTATCAGCCACGCGGGCACCAGACCTATTCAAGTGAAGCGACCGGGCCGGTGGCGGGGACGCAGCGCTGCACGATCCAATATGACATGGGGACTGGGGTTGAGTCGGCAGACGGCAGCCTACATAGCCGCGTCGGCATGGGGGCCGCTTCGTGTCGTCTGTCTACGTACGGGACGTGGTCGGTCGTGGGTCGCAGGCGGGTCGGGTCGCGGTGATAAAATGGGAAGCTAGATAGATCTGGTCTCACGCCTCCATTTCTGGGCTGCGGTGCGGGGAAGTGGACCGGTGCATCAGACGCGCTCCCCGATCGCACTTGGGACGACTATGGGCGGTGTATCACCGACCGGCCTCTCTAACCCTGCGAGGCGTCACCGGCGCGGTGGTTTTTGCGCCTGGGGTTTGCGGGGACCATACGGTGGCTCGAGGAGACGGAAGCGTCGTTGAGTTCAAGACCGGATGGCTGCTCTGAAGGGGTGGGTTGTTCGGGTTGATGAGCATGGGTGGACTGGATGCACAGAAGAGTCCTCGGCGGAACAACCCCTATCCCCCCATCATCGAGGTACGCCCTTACGCACTCTCGCCATCGACCGCAAAACTGGCTTCAGCCGCCGACGATAGGACGCTGAACACGCTGGAGAACGACCTCGAGATGGCCGGCTACAGCAAGTAGCGGCGGAGGCATAGCATTAAGAGACTAGGGAAGCTTTTCCCACAGGGTCAGAAGAAGCTCCGTTTTGGCCTCGCCGCTCTAGCCTGAGGCCCATTCGAGATCATTGTGTTTTCGTGGGCGAGACGATTGTATCGCAGCGCGCAATGTGGAACCGGCAAGATCCACTGTTGTGACTTTTCAGTCAGCAGCGGACAGTTCTTGCGTTGTGGGGACGGGGCTAGGCCTGAGCTGAAATAGTGGAGGCTAGTGTTCTTGCCCCCTCATCGGCAACGAGACTTTGCAGACGCTTTTGGCTCGCCAGACACGCTGCCAGAGGCCCAGGTTGGGGCCGCCGTGGTCTATCATGTGGCGATCTTGCATCCCAATCAATCGATTGCGCTGGCAGGGTCACCTCTAGATATGGGACGTAGCTGAGGCCGCTCATTACCTATCTGTTGTAGATTCGAACGCCCAAGCCACAGTTCAGAAAGCACGCATTCACCAACCAACGATCGCCGATTCTACAACAATGCCACCTGTCGACAGTGATTCGGTCGGATGTGAGGCCCGAGAGCAAGATGAAAGTCTTCTTCGACAAGCGCTAGCAAATGCACACAGACGGGCTCAAGAAGATCCACGCCTGCCTCTCCTACGACGATACCCCTGCTGCTCAAAAACGTCCGATCGAGTCAGGTTTGAAACGAGATATCAAAAGGTGCCAGCTGCCGGTGGCGAGGGCGCCTCCAGTCTTCGCTCGGCTCGGGGTGTCGGCAAGGAGGATGTCTGACCAGAATGTGTTCCTCGTCAAGTATGGTAGTGGTGTTCAATCGGTATCAGGGTGCATTCTTTCAATTCTCTTCGACCTGAGTCTCACGTGATCATTCATATGTAATATGGAACACGGACAGGCGTGAGCCCTTGAAGGCCGACGACCGCTCAGATAGTCGCCGGTGTTCTTCATGGGCCATGTCATCATGGTTGCACTTATGTACGGCCGTTCAGGAAGGCGTAAAGCGGTCCAGCAATAGATTACGGATCAGCCCTATCGCCATCACTCCAGGTCATATGTACGACAGTCTTGTATGTAGGGTCATATAGGGGTATGTTCCGTGGGAACCGCAGTGAAGCAACCATCCCATGTACGTATCTCCTCAATCCGATTCACAGTCGAAGAGCGCCTCCTCCGACCGGATTCTTGTGACGGGATCATCCCAATCGACCTCCTCTGTTGTCAACGCTGCCAGCTTTCCCAATCGTTCTTGTGCGTCGTTCAGAGCACGTAGCTGGTGATCGAGTCTCTGGATGCTCGAGTTGATGCGATCGATGACAGGCTGCAGTCCGGCTGTCGTGGTCTTCCGGGACAACGGATTGGAAACGTTGTTATCATCACGGGGGTTTTCCACGGCCGACCCTGCGGCGTCGCAGCCGACGAGAGCCGCAAGCTTGCCTCTCGACCGACTTTCAGATCGCACCTTTGCGGGCGGGATTCCGAGGCGCGACAGCGTCTCCTCCAACGTCTGCTGGCTAATGACCATGGGCGGGTCATCTGGTACGTCCGACTGACAAAAGTCCGTGTTGAGACGCATGAGATGCCTCATGTCGTGGAGTGGTCTACCCGCCAGCCCGCTCAGTCCGGAGACGAAAACGATTGTGATATTAAGGGACACAACACCACGGACGCTCATGCTGATCATGTATAGTCGAAGTGCCACCTGCGAAAGGACTTGGGACGATGAGATGACGTGTGAGGAATTGCAGCGGGATGATGTAGGAGGCACTATCCTCTGGGGCACTGGGATCACGTACTACAATCGCGGCATGGCCATTGACATATTTGTCCACGAATGGAAATGCGACCATAATATTGTTTGTCTGCAGTGCTCAGCTTGCCCCAAATGAGCTTCAGCGGTCAAAACAGTCTCTCTCGTTGTTTTGTCTCTTTACTCGGCCACAAGGAGGCTATTTTCATCCTTTATCCGCCGGCGCGTGTTTGGTGCCGTTTGCCGAAAAGAGTCTGGTCTGACGGGAAGAGAAAGCCATACATCGCCCGCCGGAATCCCCTGCGATCTCAACCCCTCGTCTATAGCATGGTATGCGCGAGAGCGAGCGCAGCCATAACCAAACTTACCGTGAAATCTGCGATCGATGCTCCGAAAACGTCTCCTTTGCTCGCTTCGACTCCAAGCAGGTCTGCCACAGCCTGAGATGTCTGGTAAAGAGAGACCGCAAAGACCGCCACTACCGCGAAGACGACGACAGCGACACCGTCCAGCCCAAGCGAGACGAAGCGGAGCAGCCTGAACTTGAGGCCGGCAAGTAGTAGTGTAGTCGACACCAGAACCAAGCCGAGCCCGGCGAACAGAACGGTCTCCAGGTTTGGGCATCTATCTACCAGCTCCTGCAGCTTCCCGATACCCTCGGGCGAAGGGATAAGTGGGGCCAGGTCCTGCAGCAGACGAAAGGCATGGCCAGGAATCGCGGCGCATTCTGAAGCCAGGCATGCGTACTTGGTGCCCACTGACACGCTAGACGGCAGACTTGCGGCGACCAGAGACTCGCCTGATGCGACCGCGGCAGTCACCACGCTGGCAGCCGCACTTTGCACCGCTGTGGCGATAGACCCGACCACATCAGGAACCTGAACGAAGCGCTTTGTTTGTTCATGTAGCTTCGCTCTCGTTAGTCCCGCTTTGTCGTCGTGATGAGTTACGCACCAGAATCTGCACTATGCCCTTTTTCTCATTCGCTTCGTCCTGCAGAATCCTGACGGTCAACGCGAGTATGACTAGTGTCAAGACAATATGTAGTGCTACGATGATCTTGGAAATCATGGTACTGGATGAAGGAGCGCAAGGACGTGGTTGGCGAGTGACCGAAGCCGAATAGCAGGTCTGGGAGAGAACGGAGGCACCTATACATAGTGGCTATCTCGATTCAATTGGCAGGTACGGCCCAGAGCAGTCTGCGGATCTTCATATCTGAGAAGCGTTTGCTGTGGGCGCTTGTGGATTTCTACGGATGTGTCGAAACCCGGAACCCCTGCTGCGTGACGTGACATCAATGAGCTCTCGGCATGGGCCAATTCATCAACCGGGACGCTGTCAGAGCCGTTTCTTGCTTTACTACTTGGATGGTGAAGTGGAGCCAATGCCGAGAACTGCCATGCCAGTAAGCGCAGCCGGAAACAAGGACGGACGGATGAACAATGAACAATTCGAAATGGTTTTCTTGGTCAAATCCTAGGCAACGCAACATCCTAGGCAACACACATCCTTCACATATCCTACTGATCAACGCGGGGAATGCTCATTGAAGACGGAAGCTACCTACCCATGTTTGTGGACATCTTTCTGTTGGGACCCATCCTATAATCGACTGCAGCTACACAAAGAGTTTGCTATTGAACAAGCGAGGCGTACGCCACGCTGGGTGTTTTTCATGAACAGGCCACACCTTGTCTCATTCGCCGCTTCATTCGCCGCCACTCCATGCTGGCTTTGCAGACAATAGGCGGCGTGCACTAACAGGGTCCCCATCTTGATATCGGTATGACTGGCCGGGGACTGAGGCTCAAGTAAGCATCAAACTCCGGCTCCGACATGTCTTGGTATGCCTTGAGGTGATAATCGTCGATCATCAATCTTTCGCATGGGAGGCTTTCTTGAACCAAAGCAGCACACAGCCCTTTAGCAGTGTCTAGATATCCTGATAGGGGGTCGCGATCATTCTTAAGCCGTTCATAGATTCGTTGTAGCTGCACTTCTTGCTCCTTTTTACTTACTCGCCCTGCCTGGAAGCTTTCCGGCAGCGCACAAAGAAGCGCGTATCGACCCGACCTCCAGTCATGGCGCAAATCACAGATGTCGTGCCAGATCTGAAAGTCCGACTGGTGACGCCTCATCTCTCTCAGCTCGCGCTTGGTGATGCTGGTCTTCAAACGCAGAGCAACCTCTTGATCGCTGCCGAGGCGGGTCATCTCCTTGTAGAACAGCAAACCAATGTAACGGCGGTAGAACTCGCTCTTGGAGCCATTCTTGAGAGCAGACCACATCACTGCCAATTCGGTGCTCCCCGACGAGCGAGAGCTTCGGTAAAAGGCCACGGCCTCGCTCAGCATATTGAGAATCATTCTGCACTCCTCGGACATAGGAGGCGGCGAGGGGGGCGGCACGGGGGGCGACATTCCACGCATCCCCGTGCCAAAAACAAGACCACTACGCAGTTTGGTGACCTTAGGAGAAGGGCCGGCCGCGCGCGAGAGCAATAATGGATGGTGCGGGGCCTCGGGCGACGCATGAGTAGTCTCGCTTGAACCTCGTCCTGTTGATGGAGACTTTCCTCCGGCGGGCGAAAACAACCGAGGTGACGAGGGGGAGGCACCGAACGCAAATGAACCGACGCGATTCCCTATATCCGCTGTGAAGGTTGAGCCGACTGGCGAAGGCGAACTGTCTTCGTGTATGAATGCTGCGTCAAAAAAGGTAGAATCCTCTATCTGCGCTTGCTGGAGCCGCTCGGAAACATCAGAATCCTTCGCATCTAGGGTTCCGGTCAAAAGCTCTATGAATATTCGTGCTCGCGAATTTTGAAGGAATGCGGTGTCTGTACACAGTGTAGGCACACCTCCGCCGGCCAGCATCCGCAGGCTCAATAACATCAAAGCTCCGGTGGCCTCGACCGACGTCGTGACAAGTGGCTCGGAGAAACAGATCGTACGGCCAGGAAAGAAGCCCTGGACCTGTTGCTCCAGTTCCGAGCTGCGTCCAGCCTGTACTCCGTATAGCTGCACGCAATCTGCATAGGAAACGGCCGCAAACCACGCCCCGTCGTAGTTGCATGGGATCAGTGTGGTGGCGTCTAAAGTACCGTAGAGCCTCTCAGCTGTTTCTGTACTGTCAGAAGTGAACATGACAGGATCACTGTAGCGAAGAGACGGATAAGACAATCGCAATAAACCGAGGTACTCCGCGATCACGTCGACTTCTGCTTGGTCGCCTCTGGCAAAGAGCCACAACGACGACGACACCCTTTGTTCCGTGGTATTGGTAGAGCAAGCTACAATCCCCATCAACTTGATCCATTCGCCGGTGACATGCAGCGGCACTTCTGTTTGCTCGCCGGCTTCCCGTGGCGGATATTCTTTGATTGCCTCCCCTGCCTCTTGAAGGGAGGCGAGCGGGTAACGCTTTCGAATGACCCGCAAAGCACATTGCAACATCTCCATTGTTGCGGAGGTGAAAGGATATGTAGCAAGACGACGAAATATTTCATAATCGTTCATGTTGTTGGTAGCGTGACGAGGCTTCGGGTCGATCGCCTTGCTATCTTGCTGAGCCTTATATCATTGTCCCTCTCAACCGGTCTCCAAAACTTGATGTTGAAGGCTTGCGCTGGAAACGTTTGAAGATCTCCACATATTGCCGTTGACATGGCTAGAACTGGCTCTTCGCACTCAGTCCCATCGCAAACGTATTTTGATCCGACTCGCAATAATAACAAACCATCTGCCGTAGATGGACCCGATGTCTGGGTGCCTGAAGCGCCTCTGCCACCGCCGACCGGTTTTTGAGTGGGTACTTTGACACGACATCCGGCTATAAAAGGACAGGTGCCTTCCAATTCAGACTCATGACGTTGCGCAGTGACAAGTTCCCAGTCTCTTTCACGCGTCATTCTTTACCCGTCATCTTATTCGGTCTTTGGATATGCCTCCGACCATGCATCACCAACAGGCTGTTCGTTCCGACGAGCTAGAAGACGATGATCTTGGCCGCGGCCCGGCCACATGGAGCCCTTCACGGCGCGAGTTTGCTATCATGGCGACGGCTGCCTTGTTATCACTCATGGTCGCCCTTGACGCCTGTGTCATTGTGACTTCTTTACAGGTTCGCTTTGCTCCCGTGGCCAGTTTCGCCATGAGCGAGCTAACGATCACAGGCTATCGTGGTAGACCTCGAGCTCAGCACATACGACGGCTTCTGGATAGGTACGGCGTACCTCCTAGCCAACGCCGTGCTGATGCTGTTCATCGCGGACCTGAGCCGCGTGTTTGGTCGACGGTCAGGCCTGACCATCTCGGTTGCCGTCTTTGCCCTAGGCACGATCTTTTGCTGCGTGTCGCATTCCATCGGCTTGATGTTGGCTGGACGGTCTCTCCAAGGCGTCGGCGGTGCTGGCATCATCGTCTTGTGCCTGTTGATTTTCACCGACATTGTCCCGTTGCGGTTTCGGCCTACGTGGTACGGCTTAGTGTGAGGACCCTCTCTCGAACTCATGTTTTCTTCGGCTGACCCCGTTATTCCATCTCCAGCCAGGCAGCATGGGCATTGGGCAACTGCGTTGGCCCCATACTGGGCGGCGCCATTGCTCAGCACACAACGTGGCGTTGGATTTTCTACATCATGTTCCCTTTCTGCGGGGCCGGGCTTGCTCTTGTGCCCTGGCTAGTCAACATTGATTCTCCGGCTGATGGGGTGGGCGAGAAACTAAAGAAGATAGACTGGCCGGGAAACGCTCTGTTCATCGGCTCGGCCACCTTGTTGCTGGTGGCCGTCTCCTGGGGAGGCTTGCGCTACAGTTGGGGCAGCGCCGGCACTCTTGTACCGTTGTTGCTCGGGGCGGTTGGTATGGCGCTGACTGTGATCTACGAGTCACGCTTCGCAACGTCCCCGTTCTTGCAACGCCGACTTTTCCAAACCGCCAGCTCCATCGCGACGTATGCTTGCGGCGCCATCCAAGGCCTCGTGGTAAGGGTGACATGACATCAAGCGCGCGATATGACATGCTGACAATGACCACAGATGTACGGGCAGCTTTATTACGTGCCTCTTTACTTTATGGATGTCAAGGGGTTTACTCCGGTGCAGACTGGCGTCGCACTCTTCCCGGTCATGTTTACGCTGGTGCCGGCATCCATCATCACCGGTCGGCTCGTCACGGTATTCAATAACTACCAGTGGCCGATCTGGGTTGGCTGGACTCTGGCTACCATCGCCTCCGGGCTGATGATGCTGTGGCATGTCGAGACGCCGGCGAAGATATGGGCGCCGACGCTCGTCCTTCTTGGTCTTGGCCATGGCTCCATCCTGAACGCGCAGAACATGGCATCGCATGCTCTCTGCGACGAAGGCGACGAAGCGATCGCCGCAGCGATGTATGCCTTTCTCCGACAGTTTGGCATGGCACTCGGGGTCGGCGTCGGCGGTTCCACATTCCAGAACGTCATGCTGCTCAAGTTGGAGGACGATGGCTTGGCACCCGCAGGTACGCACGGAGGTACCCATGCTATTTCTGCCATGTTGAGCGCTGCCGGCGACGTTGGGCCGCCATCCAAGATCGTGGATGCGTACATCTACGGCTTGCGAGGCGTCTACGGATTGTATGTCGGCGTATCCGGATTAGCCCTCTTGATGAGTTTCTTGATCAAGAGCGCATCAATGAACAGGAGCCTACGATCGGAGCACACGATGCACACTCAGGCGACGGGTCACGGTAGTATTCACGGCTCCAGGAGTTGAGCGTGCTTCGAGAGGGGTATTAAGCCAAAGACCTACGTTACTAGCACCCGATGGTCCAGATAGCATTAAAGTCGCGAGATGTTATTTATGACGAAACACTACTCGATTCCAAGAGCGGCCGCAAACTGGTATTTTCCTCACAATTCGTACGCGAACTTGAAGGAAGACGCGTGCAGATCATCCACAATGAGCGCTTGTTTGGCGCCATCTTAGGTCATTGATACTGCAATTGGGAGCTCATCAACATCAGCCTCTCAGGCATTCTTCCCGTGACTGT